CCTCTGCCTTCTCGCGATGGGCACCTCGTCGGGGCTCCCAAGCTCAGTAGCATCTCGTTTGAGCATCTTCCGCATGGTTGCAGGTCGTATATTGAGTTCAGACTGCAATGAAAAGAAGAGTGAATAATGACGTAGAAGTCGTGGTTCGGGAAGCTGGTATATGAGCATTGGATAACTAGCCATTTCAAGTTGGGTGTTCACATGGTGGCGTTCGTATATTTTCATTGTTGCTCCCTTTGCCCTTAGCGCCTAAGGATCTAGGCGTTGCGATGACATGAACAGTATCAAAATAACGTAGCAGAGTTAAGGTGGGGCGGCAGCAACAAAAAACCCGGTTTCGAGACGCAAAGCAGCAAGCGGGTACTTAGGGAGGCGACGAGTTCGATGGCTGTCGTAACCAGGTTTTCCATAACAGCAACAGGATGATGAATACACTAACATGATACCAACATGGGTGGGGAAAAGGAACTAGCTAATCAAAGCCCACCGCAGCGGATGGAAGGTACGTAGTGCATAGTCAAGATGGACGTGTTGTCGATCCACTATAGCTGGCGGCGATAATATCTGTCGTAAAATTCACTGTTTCTCAAGTTCTACCAAGGCAGTGTGAAACGTAATGGGCTTGTGATTGGGGACATCGCCTGATGACCTCCATTGCTTGGGACGAGGTGATTCAGCGCATCGTGACTATTGCCAGCCTTCTCCATGCATATTCTGGAAGGGACGAACCAAGGATGCATAAGTCGTTCTCACTAGAACACGTTAAATGGTATGCCCTTTCAGGCATGACGGCAGACTCGTTTCTGGACAGCTACTAATTTCCAATAGTTGGCCATGTCTATCCTGTCTGAGCACCAAGTTGGATCTTCGGAAGATCATATTGTTGTTTCTTTCTAAGAACAAACATTCGTAGTTTGAGTAATGCCACGATGAAAACTGCAAGTATGCTCTGTATTTGCCCCGTTCAAAGACGTAAGGAAAAAACGATTTAGAGCCTAAATGTCAAGATGGCTAGGCAGTAGCAAAGACCACGCCACAGGCTTACGCGCCCATGTTGTTGTTTGACGAAAAATTTGTTATCCTGTCACGAGCTGACAGGCGATGTTTCGAGAAAATACCCTGATCAAAGGTTGACTTTAACTTTGCCCCATGCGCAAGGATGTCTCATATGAAACGCGTACCGTCGGCCATGTGGTTGCTTGGACTGCAAACGAACGGTGGCTAACACTACCAGAATGCTCTTTCTTCCTCTCGTGCCACTTATCATGTCTGGAACTGGCAACCTCTTAAACAAGCCACCACTAACGGCTCTTGACGGCAGACGTAAGCAGATGCGGATTGCTGACTTCACTACAATGATGCTCTCGATAATTTGCGGTTACGTTAGCTGCCACATGCCTTGCAGATTGATGTGTGGGAGTTTTGGCCAGTGCCGGTACATAACGTTAGCACAATGAACATCCCTGATACAACAATCATACCAGCCTGCAACATCCTCACTGATCATCGGTAAGATATGGAGGCGGAAATGGATCAACTGAAAGTATCTAGAGAACTAAGACTTGGCCATTATTTTCACCCAGTGCTGCCCGGATACAGGCTGGGGAACTGCATCGTTCACCTTTCTGCACGAGAACGCGAAGACACCTGAAGGTCGCTTAAGCTGGAGCCTGTAACTGCATAAAGTCGTGCCATCCAGCCAAGTAAGTCGCCGGAGTAGGCGTCAAGTCCATC